ATACTTCGTTTTAAAGTAAGAGTGAATTTTTATTCGGAATAGTGTAAACTAGATTTTTCTAAATAAAAGTGTAAATCAAACTTAAAACGGAATATGCGTTTGTAACACATTATACATGTTTGTGTTAACGCTGTCATTTTATGAGAACTTATTATATATCGAAGGGTGGGGCCCCAGAAAGATGCATTAAAATGAAACCATTTATGGAAACTTTAAGACTGAAAATCATTCTTCTGCATATTAGTTTTCTATAATTTCCAGAAAATGTAACTGTAGATTGGCGGGTAAGATGCCTATCGTCCAATCCCAGGGTCGTAAGTTCAATTCTTCTCAGTAACTGCATTTTTTTCACGACTGAAACAAACCCACCCCCAAATCTGATCACGTAAGCAAATTTCATTTTTGACATCCAGCAGCGAGTAACTCGCCAGTTATATGATGGAACGAAGCTTTATAAACCAAGCTGCTTATGTGAGGACTTAAGAAGCAAAAATTTGCTTTTAATCGTGAGAAAAATTCCTGCTTAGGAATTGAACCAATGACTTTGGGATTAAAAGGTAAGCATCTTAATCACTAAGCTAAATAACCCAATTCCATCATTAGCATGATTGCATCATTAGCAATTGCAGAAACGTTTTGAATAGAATGAAATTAAACCAAATAAAATTAAGATGAATTTAAAACAGAAAAGTGTGGGAAGTGTTTTTTCAACAACCATCACTCTATCACCCTAAGCGGTCCTAAGTTATGTTACAGAATTGATAGCTAGATATATAAATAACATAGGCATATAATTAGACGATAGTGCTTACCTTTTCTTTGTTGATGGAAACGTGTACCCTAGACAGTCCAACCTCTTATATACAATTTTTTCTTTGAGATTATTTTTGTTTTGATGATATCTGTGTCTCTCTTTATCCATCCATGTTTCCTATTAGTCATACCACGTGATTGTGCAGGAACTGTTGTGGTGTTACAAGTTTGTTCTAAGAATATTAGTTATGGTAAGTACCCTCAAGTCTAATTTTCGTATACGATTAAATTGAATGGTGCTGTTGACCTTGAAGGCTAGATCCTATATACATACAAAAAAACATGTTTACATTTTAAAGAACTGGATTAATAGCAGCATGTTCTATATGAGTAATAGTAGTAGGCTTAGTAGTAGTACTACTACTACTACTGGTGTTCCTACTATATACAACAACAACTAGGCCTACTACTACTACTGTCGTCATCAGCCAACCATTGTATTATTTTTATCTATTTGAACTATATAATTATATATACAAATACGTAATAATAATGCTTGAAAATTGGAACATGTTGTAATAATAATCGTATTATGTAGGCTATTATATGGTGTACGTGCAGATCTAAAACCTAGGCGCTTTCTCTCATACTGAAACTGACTGACCGAAACGCTCACACATACAGTAGTAGAGTTGTGGTTAAGCTAGAAAAGTTTGTAGGTTGCAGTTTGAAAATCATAGTAATTAATATTTAAATCAAATTGCCCGACGGGTGGCCGATGTCCCCGATGAGAGCAAAGTGGACGTGGTCAGGCGTCGCGCAAAATGTTTCGAAAGCGAAAAAATAGGACAATTTAGGAGATTTAAGGCATATTTAATCGATTTTATAAATAGTCTACTAATATGTAGAATATACATATAATATTTTTTTTCTCCCCAACGAATTGTGGTCTTTCTCCCCAACAGGCGGGGGAAGCTCTCAATGACGGGGCCCTGGCCTCCCCGTCCCCCGCCCGGTGGCACCCATGTTTGCACGCTGCGTAGCACCATAACAAATATAAACAAATACATAATAGGAGTGCTCGAATAGGAACATGTTGTAATAACAGTATCAAGCATAGCTCATAAACCAAAAGTTCCTTTATTTCAATTGTATAAAAAAAGTGTCGCTGGCGAGTTTCGAACCAGCATCCACAGCTCCAATATGTGTGATAGCTTCAGTCAGTTGTGCGATAGAAAGTGCCTGGGAGTTAAATCTGCGCGTATATCATATAGGTCTCTTTCGTCTAATGGTACGGTACGATACTCGCCCTGACAGATGACGGCGACGACGGCGGCACAGGGTTGGCCGGATGCGATTTTTACCTCTGGATGTATGAGGCAGTGACGATTGGTGGCGCTATGCATTCAACATAGCACTTCCTTAATGAGCAATACTCTCATGAACGTTCGTGGGAGTTCCTGCTGCCTTTTGCACGTGCAGGGTTTGCGACATCAAAGGCTCAAGTACCATAGGATTAATGTAGAAATAGACCATATTATGGAGAGTAGAGGGTTGAACACCCACGGACCCGAACCCCCTGTTCTTATTATAAATGAACTACTAATATTATACGGTTTCCATAGAGCCGGGAAAACAATTACACAATTTATATGTGCACCTGTGGTATAATAGAATACCTTATATAGATGCAACTTGTGTTTATTACCAGTATCTATTACTTGTCTGTCTATACCTGTGCTTTTAATGTATTGTTCATATTTGTGTAGACTGTTACCCTTTTTATTGTGAATACTTTAATATCCAACACACAAAGCTATCAATGCATAGGCCTCTAGTACAGGTTCGTTGTTTCTAATATGATATGACTTGTCTAGTAGCGCATTTTAGTAGTAATCTATCGTTACTCCCAGTAGCGGTTAAATAAAAATGTAATGTGTGCGCCTCACGTATCCCAGGTACCGATTTGGACAACTTTTTTTTAAATAGATAATCAATTAAGTTTCTATAGTATTCATTTTAACGCAAGAAGTCTTGTTAAAAATGTTGATGTAATTATGGATTTTTTTTGCGACTCTTCATTTCCAGTTTGACATTGGTTGGTATAGACATGGTAGGTTAGGCGGTGGGGTTGCTTTGTATGCAAGTAATTTAAGATTATATGCTCAACGAAATAACAATTATTTGACAAATGCTTCTTGTGATGCAGTTTTTATTGAAATTAATCAGAATCATGGTAAGAATAGCTGGTGTTGTCTATAAGCCACCAGATGTTAACATTACACACTCTGTGGATGATTTTGATATGTTACTTACAAAGATAGGCTAGATAAAGAAAATAAGTTAAGTTATAATTATTATGGGAGACTTCAATGTTGACCTGTTACGATATAGGTGTATGAAGTCAACGCAAGATTTTTAAGATTTATTATACAATAACTTTCATTTACCCTTATTATAGACAAAGCAACTCGTATTACTGTGAGCACTGTACTCTGATAGACAATATTGTACAAATGCATATGATCTTCCTGCATAAGCTGTATACTGATTGTGGTATTAGCGATCATTTACCAATAGGCCTATTTAAAATAACTTCACTTGAAAATGGTTCGTGGTGTTAATTCTGTGCAGCCGTATCGCCTAATAACTCCTCGAAATATTGAAAACTTTAAAGATGAGTTGGCATTTATTGAATGAGATGATGTAATGTCCTCTCAAAACCCCGAAAATGCTTATGATCTGATCCAATCCAAATTTAGCACACTATATCAAAACAACTTTCCATTACGTACACCTAAAAATAATATAATAAGACAAAATTAAAACCTTGGATGACCAATGGGATCTTGCAATAAATTAAGCATAAACATAAATTGACAGGGGTATCGCCAGCTATACTTAAGCGTGGCGGGACTGCCACGCTTGGGCAAAAAAACGAAATGACCACCACGCTTAGGAAAGATAAGCAAAGATTGCACCAAGCTTAAGATGTTAGCGCCACACCGCAAAAAAAAAAAAAAAAAAAAAAAAAAAAATATGCGGTACCGGTACGTGCTAAGTATATTTTATTCGAAGTATCGAACTGCAGGCAGTTCCCAGATGTTTCCATGGAGAACAGTACTTGCTCAATCGCATATCATCGCAGGGCAGTAGCCACCGGTACGGTTGGTCATGTTTTTAACTTGACCACTTTTGACAAACCACAATTAATTAATTAGGTTTTCGAATAGGAAAAAAGGGTTAAATTCCACATGTGTTTAGACTCAACCTACTCCCTCTTTGATATAACTCAGGAACCGTTAATGACAGTTTACATTATTTTCTTCTCTTTAGTGTAAAATTTATAATGACTGATTAAGAAACTAGGATACATTTTTTCTTCAGTTGAAATTTAGTGTCTAATGGGCTTACCTTTTATCCAAATCAAGTAGGTCGATTACTACACATAATGAGCTTTTTCAGAAAATCAGACTAACGGTTCCATACACTTTGCCTAGGACATATATTCATTTCTTCACCAATTACCAAGCCAAGGCAAAAAACATGCCTTTATCTGTATATTTATTCCTGATAGCATTCTATAAATAAATATACTGTAAATATACCTTTTTTAAGCACTTCTCTTTAAGGCTATGAAGCATGAGCCTGAAAACGGCCTAGAAAGTGAATTTCGTGATCTTCTGAAGAGGCAAGAGAAGCTCCAAAAAATCTTATTTTCCGACATAAGGAAATACATTATAAATAACGTCTGTTGACGAAAAAGCTGTTTTTCCCTGCAACCGCTGTTAAAGTAATCGTTTTTCAGTTTAATCATTTATGTACAGTACTTACAAAACCAAAATACTTCATTACAGGGATCGAATATCAAAAGTTTATTAATTCAAGTACCACTTTTTTTAGAGTTAGCTACATGTCATGTTGTTCATTGTTTTAATAATTTTAATTTGAATAATAAGAATCTAATAAATATTAATATTAATATTTTATTATTATTTGAAATTTTCATCTTTTAAATTTTTATTTATTTATTTTTACTGGATTATTATATTATTTTTATTGTATTGTAATTTTTCTGTGCTGCTTTTAGATTACTTGTTCCTTTTATTACTTCCTGTGAATGGTTTTGTTTTGTATTGTAGAGTAAGAATGCTTTGATCTTTTGTTTAAATCACTGCTATGTCACCTACTAGAGGTAATGTTTTGATTGGTTAAACACTTTTGGTACTAGTGCATAATTATAAGCTTGCTAATATGGATAATTTTTTCATTCCTGATGATGACATAATTAATGTCGAAATATTGAATCCCAACACAATGGCGTGCATTTCAATACTTGGAGTATGTATTATACTTTCTTATCTGAGATTAATCAGTGGACCTCTCGGTTTTTAGGTTAGATTATTACAGTCAAAAAATCACAAAGACAGAAACGTTTAATGAAATCGCCACAATTTAAACCTTAAATAGTACCGGGTATATAAGTTTTAAAAAAAAACACGATTAACAACTTAAACTAATATACTATATATTTCGTACATTAGTTTAAAACAATCACAATCAACAATTCAAAAAATGTCAAAAAAAAGTCTCCAAAAAACATTCAATAGTAGATATTTATTGGTGTTTGTGTGGGTGTATATGACCTGTATATGTGTGTATATGTAAACTGTGTTATGTGTTTGTGTGTATACTTGAATATGCTTTTCTTATGTGTATGATATATGTCAGTATACTTATACTGTATAATACGCGCAGAGATATACTGATCATATCACTATAGCAACCGCTGACTACAACAATTTAATTATAAAACTAACATTAAGATTTTAAACGGCGGTTGACTTATAATTAGAATAATGCTTTATCTATACACTGAATAGTGCTTTATCTATACACTACGTGGAAATTATTTTTATAAAGTAGATTAATGCATTCAAAATATTTTTTCTGGCCTTGCAGGCCGCAATGAACATTTTGAGTGCAATATACTGCTCTAATTGCTTATTACTTATTAGTGACGTGATTTTTGTATATTTTGAGGAATAACGCTGAATATATCACTGTTTCACATTTTGTTTAAGGAGAACAAAAATAACAACATCTACTGTTAATAAGTATTGGGATTATACACAAGTACCTCTCCGCTACACAACTATATATGTATATATATACCCGATATATATATATATATACATATATATATATATTAAATTTAATACATTCTCTCAAGCTCCATTTTGCATGTTAGTTTCATCTGACTCCTTTTCACTCCTTTTACACTCCTGCATGTTTTACATAGTTTTAAATTTCAACTATTTGAATTTCTGAAAAATGATTTATTTTTTTATTTTTATTGATGATATTTGTAATGTTTTTATATGTAATGAGGAAACCACTTGATAGTTGATTAAGTTCGCTTTTTGGTTTTCTGTGTGTTCTTGTCTTTTATATATATGTTTTGAGAGAAATATATGAAATGAAC